CAATCTGCAGTGTATTGAGCAGGGGCTTGCAACAGGCTCTGTTGCAGGCACCTGCTGCCCCAGACAAGGTTACCCCTGCCTTGCGACACAGGCCCCCTGTACATTCCTGTGCGAACGACTAGACTTAAAATGATTCGACCCCAGGAAAATTCCTGCCTGCGAACCTGGGAGCAAAGGAGCCAAGGAGCCAAAGAGCACTGTCATTAACTGCTGCAGTACAGGACTATGACGCACGAACTTTCTTGGGTTTCTTGGGGGGCAAATGCCTCATCTGTACACCAGCACCGGACAATGTCCGCTTCTGGGACAACCCGCGGACGGTGCGGAGGAAATTCCAGATATCGGCCTCTCCATTGATCTTGTAGGTGGTGCGCCTCTTGGTAGCAAATTGAGTGGGCAGTGGTGTGCCGATAGCAACACGCCACTTCGACTGGGGCAACTTCTCACAGAATCGCAGGGCCTCGACGATGGCACGGGTCCTGACTGATTGAACTTAAATGAACCCAAACCCAACCCTAGACAATAAACCCTTCAACCCGAAACCCTTGAACCTCAGTGTCTGTGCCACCGAGCAACAGTTGACAGCTCTTGGCGATCGCAAGGCCGACCAGCCTCGAAGTTGCAGCTGTGTTGAAGGACAAGAACGACTTCTCAGCATCAATTGTCGGATTGTCCAAGTATGCCAGAATCGCCTCCCTGGAGGCAAGCACTTTGCCACAGCCGTACGCAATGATCAAGGCAGGAACCTGGGATGAAACACGTCAACGTGTACCAGCAGTGACGATCTAAGCCTGGCATCATCCGACTTTTAAACATTTTAATTAAAAGCTTGGGACCAGTCGGTCGCTGCGGACCGTCTCCACATCGGACAGTTGTTCGAGGACCAGGATATCGGCGGATTCATACTCGTACGGTCAAAGAATCTGGAAATGCTTGTTGCCTTGCAGCGACTTGCTGTCCGTGTAGCGACGATAGACCGGACATAGCTTCAGAGCTCGTTTGCGGAGGATGCTTTGCAAGACGGATGACCGATCCTTCTCGTGGCCGTGCTGCACCATGCGCAAACCGCCCAGCCGTGCCGCCGTTGTTGTGTAAGCAATCTTGCCAGAGGATCGTCTCCGCGCTTCCTCTTGGTGACCTTGGCTGGATGACAATGACAATGTGTATGACACTTCAAATGACTTAGCACGGAAAGCAACCGTTGTGCTGCTGAGTCACCGTCATATTTCTGCTGTGTGCGTGCACGGAAATTCTCCAAATGCTTGAGGGCATCTGGTGTGGGGCGGGCGAAAGCCCAACGTGTGCCAGCAACGCTGTTCTGGGCAGAGGCAGACGCTGCCGGCAAAGGCAGGCTCAAGCCCGGCACGAAAGAGGCCGGCTTCCACGACCTGCCTTTCGAAGCAGCTGCCTCTGCTCTCTTCGCTGCCTCGGCGGCGGCTGCTTCACGGCCTCTGACAATTGCAGCCAGAGTTCCAGAACGTGCCTGGCGTGGCTTGCTGGGCCCCTGCTTTCGTTCTTTGTTGTAGGTCATGCGGAACCGACGCCCAAAGTGACGAATCCACAGTTCACCACAAAGAACCCCGAAGTCAGTTGGGGTCAGCACGGCACATTCGCTCTCCGGCTTCCGGAAAAATTCTTCCTCTCGCTGGGGACCTTCAACTGCCACCTCGAGGATGGAGGCAATGGTTGAGCCATTTGGAGTGAGGGGTCCGGAATGCGCCTCCAGATGTGTGAGCAAGTGTCCCAAATCCCTTTCCAGCGTGGTCGTGTTGATCTTCAAGGACAAGAAGAAAGCAATGAGGGCATGACAATCCTCTGTCCATGGAAGTTTGTGTGCATGCCGTGCACGCCACGCTGGCCGAAGCAACCAAGACCACGCATGTTTGTTCCCGAAGCCTGGGTCCTTTGACTTAGCTGCTTCTAGAAGAGGATGCAATTTGCGAGCAAATCGTCCAAACAGCACGGCTGTACCGGGCGAAAGCTTGAGCATATCACAGAGCTTGCGTGTAGAGTCCACTAGCTCCTGTTGTCGGTTCGTCTCCTGCCACAGCCGAAGGTTGAATACCTGCAGAGCCACGGCGATCTCATCCTCCGTCAGATCTACTCGCAAACGCTCCAGCATCGCCTCGACCACGTGCGCCATCGTTCCCATGATCTGCCTTACATCAGAAATGCCGGCCTTCGTGCACAGGTAGTGGACTCTGTTGCCATAGAAGATCCTAGGTTTGCCACGGCGGACATACCAGCGAAGCCTACTGGAACACAACCGCTATGACGACGACAAACTTGCAGGGTAGTTGCGGCTCTGGTGTCTGGATCTCCTCGTAAACTAACTGGGTTGCACACCTCCTGGGAGCCTGGGAGCCTGGAGCCTCGGAGCCGGCCACGGAACTGGGAACCTGCGAGCTGTCGGAGAGGATGTATCCATCCACAAATAAGAACCGCTGGCGCTTGGTGAACTCTTCCAGCACTCTGGGGGTGCAGCATACATCTGGATCCTCAATGTCAAAGTTCCTGCGCAAGAAACCCAGGCACTCAGATGTGTAGTCGCAAGTGAGTCCACAGCGCATGAGGGCTGCTGCATTCATGTTTTGCAAGGCGCGCTCTGCTCGGGAGCGAATCTCGCCCGTGTTTCTCTCCTGTGTGTCATACAACGGACATTTCAACATACATGACATACATGCGTAGAGTACATACATACTATTACATTTACATACATACATGCATACATACTACATACATAACACTTACATACATTAAATTACATACATACATACATACATACATACATACATACATACATACAAACATACAAACATACAAACATACAAACATACATACTATACATACATAACATACTACGATACATACACACATACATACAAACATTCAATGTTTAAAATAATTTAATTTATTAATATTAAATTAGTTCATACTCAGTCATACAATACATACATACATACATACATACATACATGCCATACATACATACATACATACATACATACACACATACATACATACTATACATACATACATACATACATCATACATACATACATACATACATACATACATACATACATACATACTATACATACATACATACATTGTATTATGTTAATAATAATATGTCTAATAATACCTACATGCATACATACATACATACATACAATGCCAATACAATACATACATACATACATACATACATACGTATCATACATACATACATACATACATACATACGTATCATACATACATACATAATACATACACACATACATACTTTAAATTTCTTAACGCTACACATACATACATACATACTACATACATACATACATACATACCTACATACATACGTACATGCATACATACTTACATCCATGCTTTACTTACATAATACATAATACATACATACATGCATACATACATACTCATACATAATACTTACATACATACATACATACATACATACATACGTACATGCCATACATACATACATACATACAATTCAATTTAGATACTACACATTGAAAGTGAATTACCATGCATTAATACATACATACATACATACATACATACATACATACATACTACATATCATATACATAATACTAAGACTACATACTTAGTTATTATTGAATAAAAGTTAATATATTATAAAATTAATTAAATAGTTATTAATCATTGTCATTAATATTTATTAATTTAAATTATTATTATTATTAAATTATTAAAATAATAATTACGTACATACATACATCCGCACATACATGCATTAATACAATCCATACTAAGACTAAGATTTAATACACAATAATTAAATTAAAATAAATAATAATTATTAAATTTAATAATTTTAAAATTTGTTTGACATAAGGACAAGACTCGTCAGCAGCCTGCATAGCACATAAGACCGCCATCGCACGAATCATGCACAAGTACTTCAGCATTGGTGTGGACGACGAGTCAAACCGAGGTTGGGAGAACGACAACGCTCGGATCACCTTCTCCACACCAGCCTGGGAGCCATGGAGCCTGAGAACCTCTTGCTGGGCCGCCATGAGCCTGGACTTCCAGACTTCTGAGTTCTGGATGTCCGGGATAAGCGCATGCTTGCCCTTGCCGGGAGCAAACAAACGCTCCCACTGGTCTTGGAACTCGGGCATGGAGTGAAGAGGGTCCTGGTAGGCAATACGAACCTGGTGCGCAGGATCATGGCTTACCCAGACCAGGTTAGGATACTGGCCGCCAGTGACCAACAACCTTCCACACTTCAGGGCAGATGTGCACTGATCGGCTGCAAAGTGCCGCACGTGCAGCTTCAAGCGGCTGCAGGACTCCTCGTCAGTTTTGCCTTCCGGATCCTGACAGGCCCTGTCAATGACTATGCCTATGCTGTCTGCCATCACCTGACTCTTGTCCGCATCGTGCTCCTCCAATTTGTTTTCAGGAACACTGGCACCTGTCTTGTAGACCCCAAGCAAGCCATCGGCGACAAGCGGGCCATCCTCCGAGCCTTGGGAGCCTTGGGAGCCTTGGGGACCTTGGGGGCCTGGAGCCGCTGACTGCTTGGCAGTGCGCGGTGGAACATCGCAACGGTACCTCACCAAACGATACTCCTTGCGGTCGTCCACGGACAAGCTGATGCTGGTGGCTTGTTCGAGACGCTGCTTGCGAACACTCTTGACAGCCCAGTGCATAACACGAATCATGTTCTTGAGACCTCAGATGATTAATTAAATTATTTGTCAAATTTTAAATTTAAATGTGCCAAAATAAAATGTCAACAATCTGAAACCTTAGTCCTTTTAAAGTGCTGCATCCTGGCTCACACTGTCAAGCTTCGTGTTCCTGCCAGCAGCGAAGTCTTCCGTGGAATAGAATTTCACGGCACCTTTGAAAGAATATGCTGTCCGGCACGCCCGCCACGCTCGCAGCCAATCTGCCGGCTGAGGAACGTTGCCGGAGAAGAGGTGCTGATGCTTGATGCTGTAAGGCAAGCACTGTGAGATCGGCGTGTCAGGAGCTAGGTAAACCTTCGTGGCCACCTGGTGAACGAAGGTCGTGCTGTGAGCGTGTATGCAGCATGCCTGCATCGCACTCCTGCCAAAGTCTGCGACTGATGCCTTAAATCACAGCTGACAACGACAACATGATGCGGTCCTTGAGCGGACCTCATAGGCACCCCACTTGGTAGAGAGGCGACTGCCCAGCCTTAGGCATTTAGGGCTGCGAAAGTTGGGCTGGTCACGGTCAGCCTTAATTTGATCACAAAGGGGCTATCCGCTCGCACTACACTGCACAATTCGGCCGGACTGCAACCTCTTCCGCTCTGCTGGGTTCTGTGCCAAAACATTCATCAAGTGTGCACAAAAGTGACAGCCGATGCCCCAATCGCCTCCTCGGCGAGCTGGTCTCTGGCCCAGCCAAACTGTCCGCTGCTGCTTGCCCCAAGACGTGTGGGTGAGGCTTCCGGCTTTGCTCCAAACTTCCTGGAAGCGAAGGAACCTGACTGACATGTTGGGATTGTATGCAAACGGACGAGATCAAGTCGAGAATGCCGGAAGCAAGAACCAACCAGCAACTGCAACATAGTCAAGTAGCAAGTCTGCCACAAACAATAACGATCCAACAGAGAGAGAGAGAGAGAGAGAGAGAGAGAGAGAGAGAGAGAGAGAGAGAGAGAGAGAGAGAGAGAGAGAGAGAGAGAGAAAAAGAAAGAGAGAGAGAGAGAGACGGAGAGCACGAGAAAGAGAGAGAGAGAGAGAGAGAGAGAGAGAGAGTGAGAGAGAGAGAGCGAGAGAGATAGAGAGAGAACGAGAGAAAGAGAGAGAGAGAGAGAGACAGAGAGAGAGAGAGAGAGAGAGCGACGGAGAGAGAGAGAGAGAGAGAGAGCCACCGAGAGAGAGAGAGAGAGAGAAACACGACAGCAAGATGATAAATAACCAAAATGAAAAAATAGATTGACATGTAATGTGTATGCATGCATGGCAGGCATGTAAGTATGTATGTATGTAGTATGTCTAGTTGCCCGGTTCAGAAACCCTATTAATAATAAGACCATTTATGATTTAAATTTCTTTAAATATTAAAATTAAATAATAAATTAAATAATAATTTAAATTAAAATTAGGGTTTCTGAACCGGGCAGCTTGCATCGGCTGCATTTCTCGTCGCCACCACGATGGCGAGCCAAATGCTCTGCATCGCTCTCAGTCGCGAGACCAACATCGCCACATCCCTTTCCGGTGTCGTCGTCGCCCTCCTGAGCCAGGCCTTCGCCGGACTCGAGCCGAAGCTTCTTCGGGGCCGCAGGCACGGATCCTTGTGGACCTCGTCTTTTTTTTGCCGGCGTCCGGTCCTGCTTCCGGGAGCGTAGTCCGAACCGAGCGGCAAGACCACGCAGGGTGCGGCTACCCACTGGCATTGAAATCCTGGGGGCCTTGGAGCCTTGAGCCTGGGAGCCTGAAGCGACCGCGCAGCACTTACGATGACAAGCAAACGCAACCGTGGCAACCGTGCTAAGACTGGAACTGAATCAGACTCTGCAACTGGTCCAACCGACTCCGACTAACCCGAGAACCGCGCCTCCAGCTTCCCGTTCGATCCGACAGCGAGCAGCTGCCTGGCAGACGTGAGGGTATTACCCCGAGTCAAGCAGCCCGAATGGCACAACACTGCGAACTCCTATGCACACTGCGGCGGTTTGTTTCACTGGGAGTCGGCAGGGTGACCCAGTCCAAATAATCTGTACTGCTCGGAGCAGGCTTTCCCGAATTTTGCACCCGGCCTCACCTAAGTCAGTCTATGATGCCAACTCCGAGTGGCCAAATTAGAAAACGCATGCCATTCTCCGTCATAATATGACGAATTAATGACTACTACTTTGCCCAGCGATGGGCAAGACGGGACGCCAATGTGGCCGTGGCACCCTTCCTCGAGCACTTCTTTGCTGCCTGCGGTCTCAAGACTTTCTGCCAACGCTTTGCCAAAGCTGACATGCCTTCAGCCTTCTGAGCCTTTGGAGCCTTTGGTGCCTTTGGAGGCTTCTGCGCCGATGCAGCCTTTCGCGCCTTGGGAGCCTTCCGTGGCTTGCCATGGCGCTTGCGGCATTTCGCTGCTGCGCCGAGCACAACTGAAGCAGTTATGCTTGGCGCAGCAACGGTGCTGCACAAGGCTGTCGGCCGGGAAGCTTTGGGCAGGCTCCAGTTTACCAACGCAAGCGCAAACTTCATTGCCACGGCCACAATCTGCACATGCATCGTGTTGCCGCCCATGCTGGCGAGCTCCTTGTCGGTCACTTTGCTGGGAAAAACCATACGGTGAATTGGAAAACCGTGCAGCATGACTTTTTCAAGCGGGCTAATGATCCTTCCAGCTCGTGCGGATACCAGTACGGCCCCAGGTGTAACAGTAGGCAGGGAGCCATCGGTCCGCACCCGGGCTCGGTTCACATTCTGGGATACATCCGCGACAAGCTCCTTACTGCCTGCATGCTTTGTGCAAATGATGTCCCAGGCATCACGCTCACGCGGCAAATGCAGGAACAACGTGTCTGCGCAGCAGGCGACTCCGCTCTCAGTGCAAGGCCTCCGACTCTCACTCTTCAACCGGCTGCCCTGCTGCATTGAAGCTTTGCACATCTTGTGCAATTCTTTCCACTTTGGAGCATGGGAGCCTGGAGCCTGGGAGCCTGGGAACCCACGGTTGGAAGCTTGCGACCACTTCCGTTTGCGGCTTTCCTGGTACTGTGCCACAGCAGGGTGGCTCGCCGGTAGCAGTCTATCCAAAAGATCGACTGCGTCTCCGGAAGCAACTGCATCCAGGACTTCCGCCCAAGCCTCACGAAGCCAGCACGACATGTCCTTTGGCGAGATGAGGCTCACATCTTGCCGGACCCCGATGAAGTAGTACCTAGGCCTCTGGATGGGCTCCTGTAGCTCGGCAGGGTTCATCAAAATCATTTCGACATGATAGCCTGTGGACCTGAGTGCCGCCAGAACCTTTGCAGAAACACGCTTGATGCCTGACACATTCTCCAGCACGAAGCACGAGGGCCGCACAAGTTGGATGCGTGCAACGACCCCATAGAATATTTGAGCCTGTTTTTCCTTGAGGAGCCTTGACTTATTGTGGAGCAGGCTGAACGGCTTGCAGCTGAAGCCGGCAATGTACAGGTGAACGAACGGTGCCTTGTCAGCATCCAGGACACTGTGGAACAGTACCGAGGGCTTGGTATTAGCCTCGATAACCGACCGAGGACCAGCAGCCACCTCACTCCCAAACAAATGCTGGTGCGTGATGCCGAGCTCCCTAAGGCCATGGATCGGTGCATCAATGCCACTGCAATCAGTTCCCACCAACAATCTTTGTGGAAGTTTGGCCGCCCCGAGACCAAAACGGGCATGAGTGGCACCGATGCTGGCCTCGGTGGCACTCTGAAAGCCGGACCCCCAGCCGTCCAGCCACTGCCTCAAAGTGCCTGGAATCATGGCGGCAGCGACTCTACTGGGCCTTGGAGCCTGAGAGCCTGGGTGCCTGGGTGCCTGGAGCCTTGAATGCAACGGTAACGTTTAAATTGCTGCACTTGCTGACAACTTCAAACTTCGCGACGAGTGACTGGCACTGGGACAGAAGCAACGGCGATGATCCCACCAGACCAGTACCCCTCAATGACCCTTGGATGCACACAAAACACCCTTAGATGCAGTGCCTGGCCTGATCGTTGCATCCAAGGGTCATCCGGGTGCATTGAAGGGTCCTTTCAAGTTTTGGTGTGTGCTTTGCTGAAGGAATACAGGTGGTACAGGGTGGGGTTTAGGATAAAGGTGGCTTGGTGTCGAGGGTTTCGAGTGTAACCTGGGTTTCAGCAATTGACCCTTGGATGCACACAAAACACCCTTAGATGCAGTGCCTGGCCTGATCGTTGCATCCAAGGGGCATCCGGGTGCATTGAAGGGTCCTGTCAAGTTTTGGTGTGTGCTTTGCTTAAGGAATTTACAGGGTGTACAGGGGGGCTTTAAGGATTTAGGTGGTTTGGTAACGAGGGTTTCGAGTGTAACCTGGGTTTCAACTATCATCGACGAACAACAATGACGAGTTTGAAGACTTGTATCAATCTTTGTGGAAGCTTGGTCGCCCCGAGACCAAAACGTGCTGGCATCGGTGGCACTCTGAAAGCCCGAACCCCAGCCATCCAGCCACTGCCTCAAAGTGCCTGGAGACGCACGGAGGGCTGGTAGACATGCAGCCTCAGGGGCTTGGAGCCTGAGAGCCTGAGAGCCTGGGCCTGGGGGCCTGGGGGCCTGGGGGCCTGGAGCCTTGAATGCAAAGTTTGAATTCTGCACTTGCACAACTTCAGACTTCGCGACGAGTGACTGGCACTGGGACAGAAGCAAAGCCGATGATCCCAGCAGTAAAGCCTCCCCCTCATTGCAGGAACAATCTGGCGGGACAACAGGATCCCTGGCCCAGATTTTGCCCCAGCTGGCGCATTAGCCCATTGGCCCAGCTGTCATCTGCCACTGCCTTGGCAGGTTGGCCTCAAGGCTGAGTTCCTGCGGCCCGACACCCGGCCAACGGTGCCCACAGTGACGTAACGGCAGCGTACACTGTGTGGGTAGGGTCAAAATGCACACTCTACTAGGCCTTGGAGCCTGAGAGCCTGGGTGCCTTGGTGCCTGGAGCCTTGAATGCAACGTTTAAGTTGAGCACTTGCTGACAACTTCAAACTTCGCGACGAGTGACTGGCACTGGGACAGAAGCAAAGGCGATGATCCCACCAGACCAGTACCCCTCAATGACCCTTGGATGCACACAAAACACCCTTAGATGCAGTGCCTGGCCTGATCGTTGCATCCAAGGGTCATCCGGGTGCATTGAAGGGTCCTGTCAAGTTTTGGTGTGTGCTTTGCTTAAGGAATACAGGGGGTACAGGGGGCTTTAGGATTTAGGTAGTTTGGTGTCCAGGGTTTCGAGTGTAACCTGGGTTTCAGCAATTATCGACGATCAAGAACGGGGTTTAGGGTTTACTTTCATTTTAACTTATTATTTAATTAAATGTTACTTAATTTAAAATAATAATTTTGAAATTAAA